AGTAGTAGTAGTAGTAGTAGTAGTTGTGGTAGTACGAATAGTTGTAGTAGTGGTAGTATGAGGACTCGTAATATATATATTTTTTTCTGGTGCTAACAGGTGTTTGTGTAGCTTCAACTGTCATAAAATGCGATTTGGTTTTAGAGAGAAAAAAAGTTAATACTACTACTAGTTTGTAAGCGGAATGGAATTAGCTTCCACAAAGAGCTATTTATAATACTGTTTCCCCGCGCTGGAAGGTCACTGCGACGCTCATCATCTCCCTCATCTCCCTGTGGCCTTCTCCCTCGCCACAGCTCCAGCTCCCTCATCTCCCTCCCTCCCTCATCTCTCCCTGTGGCCTTCTCCCTCGCCACAGCTCCAGCTCCCTCATCTCCCTCGCCACAGCTCCAGCTCCCTCATCTCCCTGTGGCCTTCTCCCTCGCCACAGCTCCAGCTCCCTCATCTCCCTCGCGCTCCCTGGCTCCAGCTCCCTCATCTCCCTCCTTCTCCTCGCCACAGCTCCAGCTCCCTCATCTCCTGTGGCCTTCTCCCAGCTCCCTCATCTCCCTCGGCTCCAGCTCCCTCATCTCCCTCACAGCTCCAGCCCCTCATCTCCCTCCACAGCTCCAGCTCCCTCATCTCCCTGTGGCCTTCTCCCTCGCCACAGCTCCAGCTCCCTCATCTCCCTCGCCACAGCTCCAGCTCCCTCATCTCCCTCGCCACAGCTCCAGCTCCCTCATCTCCCTGTGGCCTTCTCCCTCGCCACAGCTCCAGCTCCCTCATCTCCCTCGCCACAGCTCCAGCTCCCTCATCTCCCTCGCTCAGCTCCTCATCTCAGCTCCAGCTCCCTCATCTCCCTCGCCAAGCTCCAGCTCCCTCATCTCCCTGCCTGCCCCAGCTCCCTCATCTCCCTCACCACAGCTCCAGCTCCCTCATCTCCCTGTGGCCTTCTCCCTCACCACAGCTCCAGCTCCCTCATCTCCCTGTGGCCTGCTCAGCCTCCCTCGCCTAAGCTCCAGCTCATCTCCCTGTGGCCTTCTCCCTCGCCACAGCTCCAGCTCCCTCATCTCCCTCATCTCCCTCGCCTGCTCCAGCTCCCTCATCTCCCTCCTTCTCCCTCACCACAGCTCCAGCTCCCTCATCTCCCTCGCCACAGCTCCAGCTCCCTCATCTCCCTCGCCACAGCTCCAGCTCCCTCATCTCCCTCGCCAAGCCCAGCTCCCCTCATCTCCCTGCTGGCTCCCTCCTTCTCCCTCACCACAGCTCCAGCCTCCCTCATCTCCCTCACCACAGCTCCAGCTCCCTCATCTCCCTCTCCAGCTCCCTCATCTCCCTGTGGCCTTCTCCCTCGCCACAGCTCCAGCTCCCTCATCTCCCTGTGGCCTTCTCCCTCACCACAGCTCCAGCTCCCTCATCTCCCTCACCACAGCTCCAGCTCCCTCATCTCCCTGTGGCCTTCACAGCTCCAGCTCCCTCATCTCCCTCACCACAGCTCCAGCTCCCTCATCTCCCTGTGGCCTTCTCCCTCGCCACATCTCCAGCTCCCTCACCACACTTCCATCTCTCCCTCATCACCCGGAAGGACCCTTGCATCCAAGCTCCCCCGCACCCCCTCCCCCTACCCCCCCACCCCCACCCCACCCCGCCCTGCACATGCGCCTCATCCATCTTCGTATCGACGGCGCCCACGGAATCACGCGGGCGCTGTTTATGTTCTCGAGTCGGTCAGCTGAGTCGAGGGGCTCGTCCACGCTCGCATTCGTGAGGGCTTCGTGCCGAACGAGGTGTGAATGGAATAAATAAATAAGTTAAAAAAAAGGTGAAGGGGAAAGAGGGAGGGGAGGGGAGAATACACACGAATGGGTTTTTTAAAAAGTGTGTTTTCTTGTTCTCTCTTTCGGTGGATATTTGTGTGTTGGTGGTGGGTTATTCGGTTATTCGTTCGTTCGTTGCCTATTCGTTTTTCTGCTCACTCTTTCTTTCTTATTCGCGTGTTTTTCTTTCTCTCTCCTTCGTCTTATTCGCTTTTCTTTCTTCTTCCTTCGTTTCTTATTCGTGCATTTTCTTCCTCTCTCCGTTTTATTCACGTGTATCATACCCGTGCGTTCTCTTGCTTCCCCTTTGCTTATTCATGTGTTTCCTTACTCTTCCTTTTCGTCGCTTGATATTCACACTGAGACTCGGCTGTTGCTTGCTCCAGCGCTGCGTCCTCGTGCTCCGTTTCAGCCGTTTTCCTCGGCCAGAAACGGAGGCCGTGCCCGCCGCTGCGCCCCGTGCGATGCCTCCATGTCTGGGATTATTGTTTTTCCCGAGAAAGCTAATATTATCTCGTTTATTTCGCGGCAAAGGCCATGCGATGCTTTATATAAACAACATGCTTGTATATCCCATTTGGGTGGGTTGTGAATAATGAATATTAATCTAGAATAATCAAGCGAAACGGAATATCCGAAGGGTAAAAAGGCAAGAATTTCCTCTCCGTCAAATAACAAGGAAAGTATTTTAAATATTAAGGGAGTTAATAGAGCAAAGCATGTTGAGCGGAGGCGGGCGGCGTGGATGACATGTCCTGCCTCGCAGCTGTTCAATTATTTACCCATCTGAGCCGACACATACGGAGTGTCCGGCGCCGCGCGATGCAGGCCCGTACGCACGCACGCACGCACGTACACACGCTCCTCTCGCACTCACACTCACGCTCTCACACAGATACATACAGACGCGGGTACCCATACGTACATACCAACACACATAGGCACTCACACACACACACACACACATGCCCGTGTGTTCATGTACATACGTGTGTCCATAATAGCAAAATGCTTTGGGTTGTTTCCCCTTTTCCTGGTGATTTTCGCAAACCCTATTTCCTCTGCTTTTTTTCTTCGTCTCCCCTCCTCCCTCCTCCCTCCTCCGGCCTCCCTTTGCGTCGTACGATACTAACATTGTTTATCAATTAGTGTACGGGATCACAATTCTGGAGTGGCATGGGAGGCCGGCGGCGCCCTCTCGCCGCGCTCTCCTCCTCCTCCTCGCCCTCTCCTTCTCTCTCTCTTCATTTTCTTCTCTAGGTCTCTCTCTCTTTGCTCTGTTTCTCTCTCTCTCTCTCTCTCTCTCTCTCTCTCTCTCTCTCTCTCTCTCTCTCTCTCTCTCTCTCTCTCTCTCTCTCTCTCTCTCTCCTCCTTTTCTGTCTCTCCTTACATACTTCTTCCTTCCCCTTCACCTTCTTACACTTTCCTTCCACTTCCTTCTCTCCTCTAATCTTTCCTCCTCTATTCATCCCTCCTACACTGCTCCTCCTTCTATACCGTCCCTCCCTCACTTTCCTTCCTTTCTTCCTTCCTTTTCTCTTTCTATACCTTCCTTCCCTCCCTCTCCCCCCCTTCCCCCTTCATTCCTCCTTCCCTCCCTCCCTCCCTCCCTCCCTCCCTCCCCCCCCTCTCCTCTCCCTCTCCCTCCCTCCCTCTCCCCCTCCTCTCCCCTCCCTCCCTCCCTCCCTCCCTCCCCCCCCCCCTCGGCGTAGGTCGCGGCCCCGCCCGCCCACGGCGCGCGGGGCTTATCAATAATGCCCCGCGTTTGGATCGGAGTCGCGGCCGCCTCTTGTCTCCTGCATTATATCGGAAGTGCGAGCGTGGAGGTTGTAGCGTGCTCACGGCCGCGCGCTGCCCCTCCACCCTCCCTCCCTCTCCCTCCCCCCTTCCTCCTTCCCTCCCTTCCTTCCTTCCTTCCTTCCTTCCTCCTTCCTTCCTCCCTTCCTTCCTTCTTCCTTCCCCTTCCTTCCTTCCTTCCTTCTTTCCTTCTTCCCTTCCTTCTCTCTCTCTCGCCCTCTCCCTCCTCTCCTTCCTCTCCCCCCCCCCCCCCCCCCGACGCCTCCATTGGGTTTAATCGGAGACTTGGAGGCCACTGCCTGGCCTTGTGCTGTGGGAATAGGGATTGATGGATGATAAGCGCTCTCTCTCTCTCTCTCTCTCTCTCTCTCTCTCTTCTCTCTCTCTCTCTCTCTCTCTCTCTCTCTCTCTCTCTCACACAACACACACACACACACACACACACACACACACACACACACACACACACACACACACACACACACACACACACACACACACATTTTGTCTTTCTATATTCTCTTCCGTGTGTCACCCACCAACACAAGATTAATGCATCCTGGCTTGGTGACCTTACATTAAAACGAAAGCACACGCGCGCACGCACGCGCGCCACAACACACACACACACACACACACACACATACTACCTAACTACATTACCATAACATACCCCATACACAACACACACACACCACTACCTTCCCGTAAAAAAATCTCCCCCCCCACTCCCCCCCCTTCCCCGGCATGCCATCGCTGTGTGTATGAGTTTGTACAATTTACTCTGCCCAGGGAGAGGTGGGCTTAATTCGGAAAATCTTTTTAATGAGAATGGGACTCTATGTGGAAGAGCAGGGATGGGACGGTGGAGGGAGGAGGAGGAGGAGGAGGAGAAGGAAGAAGAGGAGGAAGAAGGAAGGGAGGAGGAGGAGGAGAGAAGGGGGAGAAAGAGGATAAGAGGGAAGGAGGAGGGAGATAAGGAGGAGAGCGGAAGAGAAGGAGAGGGATAGGGGAAGAACCTAAGGGGTAGGAGAAACGGAGAGAAAGAGGAAGAGAAAGTGAGGAAAGGGGGAATACGAGGAGGAAGATGGAATAATAACTGCTCCAAGCATGCTTTTTATTCATCGATTTTTTCCTTTCAATTTTCCCCAGCTGTTGACGCGTGATACGTGTGAATAAACGGCATTGTAAAATGGTCAGGCTCCAGGTTTAGGCTAATTCGCTCTGCCGCTGCGCGCTTTTTCTTTTTTTTTCCTTTTTCCTTTTTCGCACTTTGTCTTTTTTAGGTGGGGGAGTGGAGGGGGGTTCTTTTTCCCTCTTTCTGTCGTCACTCAATGTGAAAAAAAGAAAAAAAAGAAATACATAGTAAAGCGAGGCAGCGTAAGATTTTTTCGCTTCATAATTCAGGGTACACTCAAGTTAGAAAGAGGGAATTTGACGTGTATTAACATTTTTGCCTCCGAGACGAAAAAGAGGCAGCGAGTTGGACACAGTGCGCACGGCGGTACTGTACATCTGCTGAAGTACAGTGCAATGTTCGAATACGATGTTCAGTGTCATGTTCACACGTTCTGTGCAGCCCTTATAACACTCACAGGTGTCTGCGTTAACTGGAGGGAATGTCGACATCATGGCCAAACCGTCATGGCTTGGAAAAGTATGGGACAGGGCGTGAAAATGCCTTTCTGATTTACTCGCATCTGTTCTACGACTCACGTGAACGGGAAAACGCATATGTACATCCATGCACTCACGCAAACACACACACACACACACACACACACACACACACACACACACACACACACACACACACACACACACACACACACGCACATGCACATGCCTTACCCTCACATTCATTCAGAGCAGTAGTAAAATGTGGGTTGTGGTCCGTAGAGTTTTGTCGATACCAGTACCATTGGGTAATATTATGCGTTACGTTATTGTGTGTATGCGTGCGTTTGCGTATGTGTGTGTGTGTGTGTGTACGTGTGTTTGCGTATGTGCATGTGTGTACGTGTGTTTGCGTATGTGCATGTGTGTACGTGTGTTTGCGTATGTGTATGTGTGTGTTCTTATGCTTTGTGTGTGTGTTGGCATTTACATGAGTATTTAAGCCTCTCTTTCCACGCATCGAAGCAACATCATCCCTAACCCCCCCCCCCTTCCTCCGCAGACGGCCGCGCCCTCCCGACGGACATCCGGCAGCGGGTCTTCGAGAACGGGACGCTGGTGGTGATGCAGACGATGCGGCAGAGCGACGGCGGCCGCTACACCCTGCCCGAGCCACCAACCCGCACACACCGCCTCCAGGGACGTCACCGTCTCCGTCACAGGTGCGTCACGGCTGCGGCCAAGGTCTCGAGCTAGGAAAATGATCCAGAAAGAGGTGGGTTTATTTCATTTATTCATTTACTATTATTATTATTTATTTTTTATGGGAGGGCCGATTCTCGGAGATGAAAATCTATTACTTTTTTGTTTAAATCCGTCACAGGAACGTCCAAGTTTAGCTGAAGGCGGGAAACTTTTTTTTTAAATTCTATTACATGTACGTCGACAGCCAGCTGCTTAAGGTTTGAACAGGTCTTTATCTTTTCATGTCAGGGAATAATATATATATATATATATATATATATATATATATATATATATATGTATGTATGTATGTATGTATGTATGTATGTATGTATATATTATTCCATCACAGATACGTTACAATTTCACCAAAGTTCTCTAGGTGAAAGAATGTTTTTTATCTTTTATTATTATTATTATTATTGTTGTTGCTATTATCACCATTATTCTTATCACTGTCATTTTATTATTAACATTTTTATTATCACATTATAATTATTGTATTATTATTATTATCATTATTATTGTTTTTATTGTTGGTATTGTTATTGTTATTATTATTATTATTATTATTATTATTATTATTATTATTATTATTATTATTATCATTATCATTACTATTATAATTATCATTGTTATTGTCATTATTATCATCATGATTGTTATTATTATTATTATTATTATTATTATTATTATTATTATTATTATCGTTAAGAGGGAATTTGTATATCTGTGTTTTATTTTGTTCCAGATACAGTTATAGAATTTCTCCATTTAAATAATCATCTGATTTCGGAATCGCAATTGTTGGCCTATTCTTTCCCTTTTTACATATTTATTCATTTATCAAGCAAATGTTTTTTTCTTGGATCAATTGGTTTCGTATGAATGAATGAGCATGAAGGGAGGGGGGGGGTAAGGTCTACGTTCGTCCATTCATTCACTCATTCGCCTACTCACTCATTCATTCGTTTATTCATTCATAAATCTAGCTGTTGACTTCCCCTTCAGATACGCATTCATCAAAGTCACCCTCCCTCCCTCTGCGAATGTCTGCCTCCCTCATCATCCCTCCCTCCTTCCCTCTCTCCCTCACTCCCTCCTTCGCTCTCTCCCTCACTACCTCCGCTTCGCTCTCCCTCCTCCTCCCTCCTTCGCTCTCTCCCTCACTCCCTCTTTCGCTCTCTCCCTCACTCCCTCTCTCCCTCACTAACTCCCTCCTTCGCTCTCTCCCTCACTCCTACTTTCATCCCTTCCTCCCTCCATCCATCCCTCCGTCCCTCCTCCCCCCCCCCTTCAGGCGACCGAAACCCCACGCCAGGAAGGAATGCGGGGGGGCGGGGGGGGCGACCGACCCATCTTTCCACCTTCGTATTCCTAATCAATAACCACACTGCTAATCACGTCATCACATAATTACCTCTCAAATGACTAATCACATAATTACCTCTGTAATCACCAATCACATGATTACCTCTCTAATCACATCAAATAAGTGAAGAACGACATCACGTCGAATGACTGAGACTGACGCCACGCCCACGCCCCCGACCCCACGCGGAGACCAATGAGAACAGCAACAACACGACACATAATGATGAGGATAACAATAACAAAGATGGTGATCGCAGTCCAATCGCAAACCCTCACTCGCCACATCACCAATTCCTAGACATTCCTAACTCCTAATCCCGCACAGTTCCCAATCCCACCCCAGGCAACATATTACTAATCGCTAAAAATCCTTAATTCATAATTTCACACAATCTACGTCCTTACAAAAGAATCCCTAATCCCAACCCAATCACCACTAATCCCTAATCCCATCCCAATCGCCACACCACTAATCCCTACTCCCCGCCACACCAATCACTATAATCCCAAATGGCCCCAACGCCGACCCAATCACCCCCAATCCCCAAATCCGCCTAATCCCCGCCCAGTCACCAATCAGCAGCCGAGACGAGATCGCGCGCCTAATTCACGTCACAATGATGGCGCAGTGCGGGTTTAATCACAGGTGAATTATTAATATCCGCGCCGTCTCGTTATGAAATACAGGTAATTCGCGGAAGGGGGGGGGGGGGTTGGGAGAGGGGGCGTAGGGTTGAGAGTGGGAGGGCAGGAGGTGGGGTAAATGGGAGAAAGGGAGGGGGAGGGAGAGAGAGGAGGTGGGGAAAGGGAGGGGTGGGAGGGGAGAGAGTGGAGGGGTAGGGATGGGTAAATGGGAGAAAGGGAGGGGGTGGGGGAGAGAGAGTGGGAAGGCAGATGGAGGGGGAGGGGGGAGGGTTAGAGAGGAAGAGGGAGGGAACAAGAGAGGGGAGGGGAGAAGCAGTTTTAATGGACAAAACCGACGGACCACAATGAGATAACTGAACATTCACTAAAATGATAAGTTAAACACAGCGCCCAGGCAGATCGCCCTGAGCCGGCCGGCCTTTTGGCAACATGTGTGTGTGTGTGTCTGTGTCTTTGTGTGTGTGTGTGTGTGTGCGCGCGTGTGTGTTTTAGATTAATCCGAAGAGATTTGCCAGAGTAACGCTCAGAGGCTTAGTCCATTGCTTGACGGCGAGAGGGAGAAGGAGAGGAGAGAAGAGAGAGAGAAAGAAAGAAATAGAGAGAGGGAATGAGAGAAGAGAGAGTTCAAATTGAAAATAGTTATTAGATTGAAGATAGTATCTTTAAGTTACGCTTCGTTTTACTTTTAGAAACCTGGAACCTGATGTCAATATATATATATATATATTATATATATATATATATATATATATATATACATATATATACTATATATATACTATATATATATATATATATATATATATATATATATATATATATATATATATATATAATACATATATACACACACACACACACATTATATATATATATATATATATATATATATATATATATATATATATATATATATATATATATATATATATATATATATATATATATATATATATATATATATATACACATATATATTATATGTGTTGAAAGAGCGAGAGAGAGAAAGAGAGAGAGAGAGAGAAGAGAGAGAGAGAGAGAGAGAGAGAGAGAGAGAGAGAGAGAGAGAGAGAGAGAGAGAGAGAGAGAGAGAGAGAGAGAGAGAGAGAGAGAGAGAGAGAAGAGAGAAGAGAGAGAGAGAGAGAGAGAGAGAGAGAGAGAGAAGAGAGAGAGAAGAGAGGAGAGAGAGAGAGAGAGGAGAGAGAGAGAGCGAGAGCGAGAGAGAGAGAGGGAGAGGGGGGGATGCTGAACGGACACCTCACCTGACTTAACCCTTCTCTCCCGGCCGGAAGTGGCATCTCTCTATTCTAGAACATTCCTGCACTGACCAGTCCAGCAAGAGAGGGGGGGGGGCGAGGGGTAGAAGGGAGGGGAGAGGCCGAGGGGGAGGGGGCGGGGGGGGGAGGGGTCCCATGTGACCAGCAAGACACCTTCTGATTGGCTGATATGTTCTGACCAATCGGCGGCGGCGGCGGCGTCCTCCAGGCATCATTGATCATTGGCTGAATTATTTGTCGGGATGAAATTTTCAGCGGAGTCCAGGACATAATGCATTCGTATCGGAGGCTGCAGCTTTGTTCTTTCTTTCTTCGAAATTTCACTTTTCTCTCCCATCTCTCTTCCTCCCTTTCTAATTATTCATTCACGGAGAATTTCAAGCGCGATTTTATCCTCACATTATGGAGTCGGAGGAGCTGTGTCCGAATGGCTTCACGATGGCTTCGCGGCCGCTCCTCTTCCCCCTTTGCCTATCTTCGCTGTCTCGCATTCCTCCCCCCTCCCCTCCTCTCCGGCCTCCCCCCCCCCGGCCCCCTACCCCCTCCCCCCTTGCCCGCCGCTCGACGACCCTTAAGGTATTCCAGGGTCGTATTTCGGGTTGTAGGCGCGAGCAAGTCGTTTATGGCGCACTCGCACTCGCTCGCTGGCGCCCGGATGTAAACACGCGCGCTCGCTCTCTCGCACTCGCCGATGCACACACGCACGCACACACACACATACGTACAATATAGACACACACACGCCCTGTTTACACACAAAATCCACACACCCACACACCCACACAACACACACACACACACACACACACACACACACACACACACACACCACAACACACACACACACACACACACACACACTGCCGTCGACGCCAGGGCTCCCACCGTACAATATTTACAACCCTTTGAGGAGAGAAAAAGAGAAAACGGAAAAAAATAAACTTGCATTAATTGATTAACAGATTTTTCTCGTTGGGAAATTCTCGGGCGAGAGACCAGGTTAAGTATTTTTTCTCTCCATTTTTTGTTTGTTTGCTTTTAGCCTTTCTCTGGTCGAAGGATTTTTTTTTTTGTTTTTTTGTTTTATTTGTGTCACCGGGGCACGGGGGCGGGGGGGGGGGGCTGCGCATGCGTGCGAAGAAGGCTCGAGTCCTGTCGGATGCCGGCCGAGGGCCCCGCCTGTCGGTGGGCCTCCTGCCTGTCCGTGCGCGGGAATGTGTGTGTGTGACGGGTGTGTGTGGATGGACGGGTGGATGGGTGGATGGATGGGCGGGTGGATGGATGGGGGGTGGATGGATGGGGTGATGATGGCGGGTGGATGGATGGGGGATGGATGGGCGGGTGGCGCGGACGGATGGATGGATAGACAGATGAACTGATGGATGGATGGATGCGCTTTTATGCATGTATGTATGTATGTATATAGATAAGCATGTATATATTACATATATATGCAAATTTGAAAAAAAGAAACCCAATAAAAGAGAGAGAGAGAGAGTGATAGAGTGAGAAAAGAAGAAGAAGAAGAAAGAGAGAGAGAATGAGAATTAAAAAGAAACAGACAAAACTCGAGCAGGCGAGAGCGAGAGAGAGAAAAAAAAAAAAAAAAAAAACAAGAAGAGACAAAAAACGAAAGAGAAATCACAGGGAAAAAAAGCAGCAGCCAGGAGCAGAAGAGCAAAACCCGGGCGCTCACCTCGCCACCAGGACCGGGACGAGAAACAGCTGATCTTCCGCCCGAGAGGGAACCGTAAATGCTGTCGGTTCCTGATGAGACGGAGGGGGGGGGGGGAAGGTGCTCGGAGATGATCCTGGGATGGAGGAAGGGAGGAAGGGGACTTAGGAAGGGAGGAGGATGGAGAGGAGAGGAATGCAGGGGGAAGGAGGGGGGGATGGGAGGGGAGGGGAAGGAAAGGGGAGAGGAGGGAGAGGGAGAGAAAGGGAAGGGTGGAGGAGGGAGGAGAAGAGGAGGAACTTAGGAAGGGAGGGGAGAGGAGAAGGAGAGAGAGAAGATGGGGAATAGGAAGGGAGGGAAGGAAAGGTGAGAGGAAGGGAACGAGGTGAGGAAAGATGGGGAAGAGGTAGGTAGGAGATAGATGGATAGGTATAGATAGATAAATAGATACATACATAAATAAAGAAAAGAAAAGAAAGATAGTCCCCTTTCCACTTCGTATCGCTATCCCTCTTCCTCTCCTTTTCTCTCTCTTTCTCCCTCTTCCTCTCCTTTCCCTATCCCTATGCCTCTTCCTCTTCCTCTTCCTCTCCCTCCCCTTCCTTTTCCCTCTCTCTTTTCCTCCCTCCCCCTCTTTCTCTTCCTCTTCCTCTCCTCTCCTCTCCTCTCCTCTCCTCTCCTCTCTCTCTCTTCTCTCCTTCTCTCTCTTTCTCTCTCTCTCTCTCTCTCTCTCTCTCTCTCTCTCTCTCTCTCTCTCTCTCTCTCTCTCTCTCTCTCTCTCTCTCTCTCTCTCTCTCTTCTCTCTCTTCTCTCTCTCCTCACTTCCCCTCTTCCTCCCCCCCCTCCCCCTCCCCCTCTCCCTCTTTCACCGAAGATAACTCTCAACGAATCCAGAAACAGGAGGAGCAATTCTTCGAGTGCGACGTGTGAAAGGGGACATAAGGAAGGGAAGAGGACGAACGAAGAAGGAAAAGAGGAGGAGGGGGGAAGGGGGAAGAAAGGGGAAAAGGGAAAATGAAGGAAAGAAGGAGGAATGAAGGGGCGAAGGGAATGAAGGTGAAATTTGGAGTGGGTAGGGTGAAAGAGAGAGGAGGAAAGGAAAGAAGATATGGGAAATGGGGAAGGGGAGAAGAATAATAGGGAGAGGGCACGAAGAAATAGGAAGAGGGGGAAGGGAAGGAGGAAGAGTAAAAGGAAGAGGAACAAGAATTAGAGGAAGAGGAATGGGAAGAGGAGAGCACGAAACTATGAGGAAGGAGGAGGCAAAATGGCGAGGAGAAGGAAAGGAGGACGAGGACGGGGGAACGAGAAACAGAAAGCGTAGAAGACAGAGAGAGGGAGAGAGAGAGAGAAACATAGAGGAAAAGAACCAGGAGGAGGGGGAACATGAGACAAGGAGGGGAAGGGGAAGGCAGGGGCAAGGGATCATAACCGATCATTAGGCGCTTTTTACGATAGAAATGAACCCGGCGTCGCCCCTAATGCGATCACCGGAGAGCGACCCGGAATTAGTGTCCGATTATCATAGGAAGCTCAATGCAAAGCGACCCCGTGGCAGTCAGGACGAAAAATAGAAATAAGATTTATGGATTCCTAATGATTATTTCTAGGAGGGGTAGAGGGGAGGGGAAGGAGGAAGAGGGGGAAGAGGAGAGGAGAGGAGGCGGAGATAGGAGGAAAAAGGGAAGAAGCAAGAAGGAGAAAAGGGAGGAGGAGAGGAAAGGGGGTGAAGCAGGATGTGAAGAGGGAAGAGGGAGAAGGGAGGAGAGAGGTAGGAGAGTAAAGACAGACAGAGAGAAGAACGAAGCGAGCGAGAACCCAGTGCCAGGGTGACAGGAGGGGCCGTCGAATCGGGCGCCGCGCGACCCTCTGCGGAGAGCGAGGCGTGTCGCGCGCTGCCGCCGAACGAGGCTCCGGCGGTTCGAGGCCGTCGGCGATCTCGAAACAACGGCCCTCGCGCTTGTAGGCCGTGGTGGGTCTGTGCTGGCTCTGTGGGTGTCTGTTAGGTCTGTGTTAGGTTTGTTAAGGTTGTAATGGGTCTATGCTAAGCTTGTTTTAGGTTTGTGTTTGGTCTGTTTTAGTTCTTTATTAGGTTTGTGATACGTCTGCGTTAGGTCTGTGTTAGATTTGGGCTAGATATGTGTTAGGTCTGTTAGATCTGTATTAAGTCTGTATTAAGTCTGTGTTAGTGATGGACAACTCGTGGATGCAGTGACGAGAGAGGGTGAGAGAAAATGTGGGAAGCAGCTGTTTCGGTTGACGTTGTAGCAATTATATTATCAATTGTAAGAGTAGTAGTAGTAATGGTATGATAGGATTATAGTTGTAGCAGTAGTAGTGGGAATATGAGTAGCAGTATATGTAGCAGCTGTAGTAACAGGAGCAGCAGCAGCAGCAGTAGTAGTAGTAGTAGTAATAGAGGTAATAGTAGTAGTATGTTTGTATAGTGTAGTTGTAGTTGTAGCAGAAGTTAGATAGAAATATTATAAAAATCAAAGTACAATAGTTGTAGGACATGTAATAGATATAGTTCCTAGTATTAATATTAGTAAATAAGTAGTAACATTAATTGGTAGAAGTCACTGTTGCTGTCGGAAAGTCTAAGTAATAAGAGTGGCAGTAGTATCAATAGTATCAGTAGTATTAGTACTGATAATAGCCATAGTAATAGTAGCAGTTTTAGTTGTAGACGGTCGTAGCAGTAGGTTTAGTTGTAGGAGAAGCATCACCATTATGTGCATTGCCACCACCATCATCATTATCATTATCATTACAAGCATCCTCCTCATCACCATCCCCCTCATCATCATCACCACCACCACCATCATCATCGCTACCACCATCCTCCTCCATTGTAATCATCACCCCCCTCATCATCACACTCCTCCCCATCCTTCCCCCTCCACCGCCATCACACCGAGACGGCAAACCCCTGCACCCCCATTACCATAACTACCGCCGCCATACACGGGCCCCAATAACCGTAGCGCCAATAACACGGGGAAGAAACAAGCGGTTGGAGCGTCAGTATTAGGGCGAGTTGCACACCGCAGCAACTGCAAAGGGAAGACATGCCCTTTGCACTGGCCTGAGGAGTCCCGCTTAATTAAAGAGGATGGCTGCTTCAGGAAGAGGTTAATGGGCGGGGCGGGTGGAGTGGGAGTGCCGCTGGCCGTGGCTGGACTCGGTGGAGGGACTGTAGTAGTTGTAGTAGTAAGAATAGTAGTAGTAATATTTGCTGTAGTGGTGGTAGTACTGCTAGGGGTACTGGTACAGGTAATGGTAATAGCACTAGCAGTAGTAGTGGTGGTTATAGCAGAAGTTATAGTTGTTGTAGTGCCAGTAGTAATTATAGTAGTAGTTGTATTGGTAGAAGTAATAGTAATAAAACTGGGAGCAGTGGCATTTCTAACAGCAGTAACAGTGGCTGAGGTTGTAGCAACAGTATTAGTAATAATGTTAGAAGTAGCGGAGGTGTTAGTGATGCAGATTACAGCAGCAGCACCAGCGGGCATAGTGCCAGGTACAGAAAGAGCGAGAACGATAGTAGTAACAATAATAGTAATACTAACAATTGTAACAAAAATATTATTTGTATTGTTAGTAGAGCTAGTGATAACTACAGCAGCAGTCCCGTTAGTTACAGCCAGCAATAGCATGAAAACATGATTTTCGTAAAATGGCTAGTGATGCAGCCGTAAAGTATATGGAACAGAAGGACTCGCAGCAATAACAATATCATTGGTATAAGTAGTAGTAGTTGTAGTATATTATAGCAGTAGCAATAGCTAATAACTGTAGTGATATTAGCAGTAACAGAGGTAATAGCAGTAGGAGTACTAGTAGTAATCAAATCAGTATAGTAGTAAAATGAGTAGTTGTAATAGTAACTGTAGTAGTAGTAAATCGAGGAGTGGTAAAGACATGCGTGGTATGAGCCTTCGCAAAGTATCACTAGCCACAGAATCGCCACAGCTCACCATCGCCGTAATTGCCATCATCATAGTAACTGCAGGAGTAGCCTTTGTCATCCGCGCGGCGCCAGGAAGCGGGGACGTCAGCACAGCGCGCCCTG